GTCAGGCCGTCACAACCGTCGTCAGTGGCCTGCCTCAATCTCCTCTACCTTAACAACACAGGTGTTTGCCTTTGAAGCTGCACCCATCTCCGCCTCTCGAAACCCACGTCGTCTCTCTCGTTCATCACGACCCATCGACCCCGTCACCACTGCCTCCCGCTGCTCTCCGTCCCACCGCTCTTTCCCTCGCCGTCAAATCCTCTCCTTGTGCCCCCTGCCACCGTTTCCATACATTCCTAACTCGACCATCACCATCGCCACTCGCGGTACCCTCCAATTGGACTCGAAAATACCTCCTCCCCTTCGCTCCCCTGCCCCACATGTCTACTACCGTCACCACAGCCTCCTGCTGCTCTCGTCCTCGACCTTTCCCTTCCCTTCCCCATCCTCTTCCTCCTCCCCCACCCGCTGCCACCCGGAGGAGCCGTTAGCGCCGGCGGAACGCGCCCCGCCGCGAGCTGCTGGGATGGTCCGGCGTTTTTTACGCGCCCGTTGGCCGCACCCGGGCAAAGAACCGGCACAGGCTGTTCGCGAAACGGGCGATGGCCTTTACGAGGAAGAGGTCTGTAGACTCTTTCATATCCGACCTCCGTATATTCTCATGAAAAGGACTGGTTGACTGCTTCATTGGTTGAATCATACAAGTATCTTATTTTACGCGTAAGAGGACATTAATTTTCCACCTTTTAAATAAGAGGAAAACAAATTATTTGATTTGTTTTAAAACGCTGACTGTTCTGTGCCTTGTTATTTTAAATAACTTATTAAGCGGGTCAAGATGGCCCAGATCGTTTGGGCTATAATGCCTGACCAGCAGACCGCGGGGTAGAGTCCCATCTCGGGCATGGATGTATTTGTGTGTGTCTATATGTGTGTGCCGTCCTTTCATCCCACACCATTATCATCATCATCATCATCTCACTAACCGTATCGCAAGGGCCTTGGGGGATAAACATCGAAATTCAGCTAAAATGCTGAGCGCTCCCAGATAAAGGTACTTGCAGCTGGTGAAGCAGGATGCACGGGTGGTTCGAGTTAACCTATATGCGAAAAAAATATTGGGAGTCTACTTAAGAGCTGGGCGAACGCGGTGCCTCGGGCTCCCGAGCTATGGGCTCCCGATTCTGCAGGAACTGCCCACGCCACGGCCCCTGCTCGCCTCCACGCAACTTCCCAGGGTGAAAATGCTCTCTGCCTACGCCCACAATGCAGGCCCCTCAACACACGTCCAGACTCATTTATTGAAATCGTTCTATTAGACATTTCATTCAAATTATGTTTCCGAAAAGCTCGTATTGTGCGTGCGTTGTTTTTGTACACTCTGTACTGCAACACGCCCCACAAAAGGCATCACAGTGCGGCACCACGCCCGAAGACCTCGCCGATCTCGGAGATTATTACTATCTTTTCTTGAATCTCCGATGGTTCTCGAGACGTGATAAAAACCCTTTCTTTCGAAGTGATTGTTAACCTTGTTTCTTACTTTCGGGGAATAGAAATTACTTATTTTAAACAATAAAAGGAAATTGGCACGTTTCTGTGTCGTGAGAGAAGAAAACTCTTTCGAAAACGGCCCGCTTCGCCGCCGGCCCTGACGATCATATTATCTCAATATTTCGAATATACGATTTTTAATGTTTCATTTTTATCCACTATTATTAGCAATGAATGATGAAAGACTGAGTGATAAAATGCAAATTCACATATCAGTGTTGGAGTCCGTGAGCACGACCACATTACAAAAAAGCTTCTGAAAATTTGAAAGTATATTCATAATTTTAGTGCTCTTTCGTAAATAAAATAGTAAATCACTATTTTAGATATTTTTATTTTAACATTTACAAGATCCTAGTGCGTAGTCAAGCGCAAGTTTCCAAGAAGTTTAGTAATTGTTAATAGCGGAATAGAAACGGTAATTTCTATCGCAAGCTAAGATCTTTCTCTGGCAAATGATTTATTCTACCAAATACAATTCAAATGAGCAGAACCTGGATATGTTTTGAATTTTACTATGCAGGACATACATGATTTATTATTGAATTGTCCCGTCTCCTCTGCAAAGTTTTGTGGAATGGTTGAATACTTGGAGAACGCAAAGAGAGAGCGCCAGAGAGCACGATCGAGAATGTGAGCGTGTCCCGTGGGACAGGGGCAAGAGTGAGGGCTTTCCGATTAAACGTGTGGGATGGTTCTGGCGTTGACCGCGGACCGGAACGACGCGCGCAAGAGAAGACACTTGCACTTGGAGTGGGGGCTTATCAACTCTCCGTTGGCACTGTGGATAAATTACAAGATGAAACGATAGAGACACTACTGTCACTTGCTGCTCTGCGTAACGTTTCTAAGCATCGCAAGATTTTAAGTTGACGCATTTCTGGGAAATTAAAAATATGCGGGAATCAAGTATTTAAAATAATTTGTACCCAACGAAACGTGTTTGTTTTTAAGAGCGTTCTGCTTTTTAAATTAAAATTTAATTTATTACATTTTGTAAATTAATATATAATTTATGAATATTAATCATGAAAACTTAATTGTTGTGAATACCTTTTAAACTGTTTTAATTATAATTTCGATTATTCTTGTTATCACGCGTAATGCTAACATGTGAACTTCAGAGTGTGGAGTACATCCCCCGGTTTTATTTTCGTCGTTAATCTTCCAAGAGTAAGTACGTATTATTTAGTGTATTTAATACAAATATATTATTCATATATACTAGGACACATAATATTTGGAATCATTAAAATATCGTTAAATTACCTGGTGCTATCTTCGGATTATGAACACAAACGCATTTTTAGTAAATAGGGGTAAATTTGCGAAGTTTGGGTAAAAAATATACATAATGAATAGTATAATATCCTCCTTTCAATGTCAATTAGAAATCTTATCGTTTCGAAGTCAGTTAATAAGTTGCTATAGCAAATGCCTACTCTGAGTGTTGAGGATTATTCATTCTGAAATCAATAAGGAGGATGTGTATTATTGAATAAATTTATTTGAAGTGGCGTGCCAAGAAAATGCATCTCGTTTTACCGACCGGTGAATAGATACTACGTTTTAACTCATGGTTGACTGAAATTTCCGCTGAGCAGTGTTGGCAACAAAATAACGCTGTCTAAACATTAGTTTGTGTTTCCTACCTATTGCTGTTTAATTTGCTATGATCACAAGGTACAATGTCCAAACACTTCCTCTTTCTCATTATCTCGCTAATGCTCTCATTAAGCCTAAAGGGTACTTTTTGCGGCTTGTTGGATGAGCGAGGAAAAGTACATCACAACGTTACTCACACGTGTAATACGTACAAGGACAATTACACTCATGAGAGAAGCCTAATTGAAAGTTTAATGCACGCTAAACGACTTGAGGGAAAAAAATATCTCGTTTTCTCCAGAAGTTCCTCAAGCCGTCTTTGCGTCACGTTGATGTTATAAGGAACTACGAAGAGGATTCGGAACTGCTTTAAGTGGCTTGTGAGTTTGACGGCTTTGGTAAGATCTTAATAGCACCCTAGGATTATCATCTTTACAGGTCTTAAAGTAAAACCTGGAAGGTTTAAAAAAGTGTTAAAGGCCGTACCTTTTAATTGTATACGTTAGTTGAACGGTTATAATAGCATACTGCTTCTCATAAAACGACTTTTCACTTGCCGGCGATCTGTGAGTTGTTAATGAAAACAACAACATAGGTATTTAATGTACGAAATAGAATAAGGCGAAGATAATTTCCTTGTTAAAAAAGTGAATTGTGTACTACGAGTAGGTATAGGTACAAACCACATCACAGACGAAGGTCTTTTTTTAAAATGTCAGATTGCTAAATGCAGAATATTGGACTCTTCTCTATTATTTTTTTTGGAATTGCGCTGTTTCGTTTCATACGTTTGCCACTGACGTCGCACTCCAGTCGATGCAAACCTTTTCAGTTTCGAATCCTGTCAGGTGTGACTTTGCCTTAGTGAAGTCGTTTATTGCAAAAATATGATTGAAATTGTATGGGTGACACCAAAGGAATGTTTTGGGGGGTGTTTCGTAGACAAAAGAACCCGGTCTTCTGGAAAGCATTTCAATTACCCTGAAATTGGCAGTATACCGACGTATGGCAACACATTATTGATTTCCAGTAAAATAAAATAATATGAAGCTCATATCAAGGTGTTTTTTCACCAGAACCTGTAATACGTTATAACCCTCTTTCAACTCCTTGAATTTACGTTTTATCTACCTTAGTTCTTGGACAAATGAGCAGTAAATGATAGAATAGGTCTATTACTGATCTATCACAATCTAGCAAACAAGGTTTAAAAACTTGTCACGTTGAGACGTGATACTGATAACTGTCTAGTATTAGAAAAAAATGTATTTGTGTTTTTCTGATATACATGTGTCTCAGAATTAATGTTACGAACTGCGAGAGTATGTTGAGTAGTCTAAAGTACTAATAACATTTTGGTAATAAACATGGAGGGGAAAAGTCGACGAGAAAATTAACAGTACTCTTGGAGAGAACGTATGTTGTGTAGTGTCACGATAAATCCCGTTTATGGCATGAGTAAATTCAGGCAATAGTCAGATTATTGGAAACTTGAAACAACGTTTCTACAATACTCCTGAAAACGATTGAAAATACAAATGGATGGAAGCATTTAGAATGGATAAAATTATTAAGTTGATTACAGAATGTTGAGTCTTCAGTTACAAAGATGGGAACATGGGAACAGAATGGTGATAAGATGGCTAGTTAATGTAAATATTGTTACCAGCTTGTTAATGAAAGATATGTCCAAAATGCCCTGAAACATCTTTTTTATAGTAGGTACAAATAATTTTAAAAAATGTTCCTTTTCCATAACACTACACATTAAGAGCAAATATTAATTGGCGGGCGGCCTTTTCGTTAGAGCCTTGCTGTCATATGATGAGAGCTGTGTTGTTAATCTCGACGCAAAGATAATAAAAAAAATCTGTGGGTACGTGCAGTATGCGAATAGGCGAAATAACCCAATCAAACATATTAATTTTTTCAGACAAAATCGAAACTATTTAATGTTTTTGGACTTTTCCCATGTAATAAAACCATAGAAACATCTCACATTGCTGGAGGCTACATAGTTTTCTTTCAATTTCTGCGCCAATTGGATACTAGTACTATAGGTACACTAGCAGATATTTGGCTCATGGACGCTGCGTCCTATGCTCAGATTAGGCCCCCATGCTACCACCTTCCTCGTGGCGAAATGCTGCATGAAAATGTCGACGTGGTAGAGTACGCCGCAGAGGTCTTCACTTTCACGTAAATATACAATACGTGTAAAAATCCGATTATCCTAATTAAAACGGATCGGACCATTTCAGATATGCGGAAATTCGGATGTTTAGATAAAACCCTGAAAGAAAGTAAAAAATACGCCAGAAAAAAATACGAAAAATACGCCAGCAAAACTGAAAATAACGTATTATGTGTTTAAAAGTGAAACCACAAATTAAAATTTAAAACATCGCTGGAGGCGAGTCTGAAGGAAGATTTGAAACCCCAAGCGTTTCTGGGATTGGGAGGTTGCGCTTTCAAATTCGCGACTGGAATTCTTAGTCGGACTGCTCTGTGCAATAGTTTTCCATATCACTTCCTCGAACATGCTGAAGCTGCTCTTTAGAATACAGACTACATCTGCCCGCCATCATTCCTTTCCTATCCCCTTAGTCATTCCGATTCTTAGGGCCGAGCGATAGGCCGAAAACCCAACCTGAAAGGCCTCGTCGGCTGAGGTGGCTCCGGGCATTCGCTGATGTCACTGCAATGTCTCAGACCGGGCATCGCTAGGGCTCGACACCCGAAGGTGGCAGGTAGAGAGCTAGATCGGATTCCTCCGCTGCCTAGAGGAGAATTCTACTGCCTGCATTCTCTGATCTGTAGTTTTCCGGGGTTTGTTAGATCAACAGAAGGTACCGGGGCAGCAACCTAATAAACAGACCACAGACCGCGAGCGATCTTTCCTTCCTCTTCCTTGTTCTAACTTCACCCTTTACTTACAGATACACTTACATGCACTATTCTATCACATATGTTGGTAACTTAAAACTTGTCCAGCTGCCCCGGCTGAGGCTGAGATAATTTGATAGGGAAAACCCTGCAAACCAACGTGATGGTGCCACCATCCAGCCTAGGACACGAGCTTAACATCCAGGAGGGGTGTGGGTCTAACCACCTAACACAATCCAGTTCTGGTAATCCAGCGGGAATAAACATGAGCTACACTTACGGGACTAATGGCCATATCATTTGATGCGCCCGGAAACACGAAATAATCAACCGGTAATTGATGGTGGATAGGTGAATATGTATTCTTTTGGCAAAATGAAGCTTTATTTTATAAGACCTATATATAAATTTATTGCTTTCAAAACATTACAAGAGGAAAGGCCGACAAGTATTGAAAAACTAAGGTATCGTATTGTTCAATAACAGGTCAAACAACTGTGAACCGGAAAGAAGTGACAAATCGCGGGTTCCCGAGGCAATAAATGCGTCATGCGGTGAGAAAAATGCGATATAAAAGTATGTTTATTAAATAGTATTTTCTTCAAAAATTAGCTCTGATTATATTGGTGGTTTTCATAATTGTAGCTCTGATAAATGAAGTTTTATGTTATATTAATTTAATTATATTAATAATTATAGTTTATGAATTTATTACTTACGAAGCGTTATAAAGGAAAAAAGATGGACAGGTTATAAAAAATTAATGTGTCATATTAAATAAGATGTGAAGTTTACTGAAAAGGGTATCAAACGCATAGCCCTCTTTTCGGGACCAATCATCACCAGAATTACTTTTCCTCTCGTAAAACCTGCAGAGCTCTTACACCAAAAGTGTAGAGTTGTTAATCTTGATTAAAAATTGAAACGTTCTATCACTGACCATGCCTGGAATTTCGCAATTCAGCATTGTCGCAAGCTTTCACATGGAAATATGAATGTTTTATGCTTGTCCGTACAGCTAAATCGTCTCTTGAAAGTAAAAATGGCCTCGGTAAGGACCTGGCTAAAAAATGAGTTAAGTGAGAGAGAATGGGCGGGCAAAGTGGACTTGCTGGGGCCGTTGGTGGATGTTCTGGATATTTTTTTTTCCATTTCTGTGTCGGTCAGAGAAATCATGTTCCCGTTACTGAGTTGATAACCTTTCTCCGGCTGAGTGAGAAGGCGTGGCTTTCTCGAGACCGTCAGTCACGTTTACATTTCTCATGATACAGAATGCCGCCTTCGAGTATTCATAAAGTGTTCGCTAGTACCGATGGTTATTATTCTACTTCTCACAAGCAAAAATACTAACATTTCACCTAATGAATGATTTGTTACTTTTTAGCAAGTTTTAGTTTAAAAGCAATAGTAGGAAGATGGCACATGGAGAAATCGTCGAACTGAATGTAATTTACCTTGAATAGTGGGTGCTGACTGAAATTAATCACAAATACATAAATAATATTAATTAATTTTTGCCCTGAGAAAATTAGCAAAATAATTGTTTCACAGACCGGTGAGCACTTCAATCGAGAATTCAGTCCAATATTTCTGCAATAATCAAAGCTTACCATAAATTAAAAAGGAGTTTTTGTTCATGTTCCTGTATCACGTCAACCAAAATTAATGAATAATGGAATAATAACTAACTAAATACAAACTTAATAAAAAAGCAACAATTCCATTCGCACATCAATTAGTTTTCTATTCAAGAATCGTTAAAGTATGAGCTCTATTTGCGAAGACTAACAACAAAACACAGCAATGCAGGAATTGCAAATTTTAAGTTTTAATTAATTAAAATTCTAATCACTCAACGTACCAAAGTCTTGACGGTTATTAAAATATCTATGCGTTGACGCTCCAAAGAAACTGTGAATAACAAAGGAAAATTAAGCACATATGATGATGGTTAAAAATGGATAGAAGGTCATAATAAATCTGATTTTACTTTACATTCCAAATTTTGTAAAGTGTTAGTAGTCAAATACTTCTACTAGCCTATTGATAGGTTTACTGTCCAACCTGAGGAACGTTTTATTGTCACTTGTTACATTTTCAGTCAAGCACTACACACTTAAATGCAAATGGGAATTTGAATAAACTTTACCCAATATATTTTGTTCGTGGATAAAAATTGAAAGACCCGCGAATACCACTACTTATTCTTACAATCTTCGGCTACATCATACTCGATACAGAAAAATCCCTGCAAACAATGAACTGTTTATATTATAGTGGTCTACTTTATACAATCAATTAAATTTTCAAGAAGAAATAACTATTTAATAAAAAACAAGAGCTGTTAAATAATAATAATAATAATAATAATAATAATAATAATAATAATAATAATAATAATAATAATAAAATACTATGATAATAATACTAATAGCAATACTAATAACAATACTACTACTAATATTATATAATGTGTGTGTGTGTGTGTGTGTGTGTATAAGTAAGGGATGAGGATAGGACAAGGAAGGGAAAAGAAAGATCGCGCGCAGTCCGTGACCCGTTTGCTCCGATACTGCCTGGTATTGATAGAATAAACCACGGAATACTACTGCTCAGAGTAGGCGGCCGCGAGAATTCTCGTCCAGACAGCGGCGAAACTCGACGTAGCTGCCTGGCCAATGTCGAAAATCCTGCCACTGTCGAGATTGGAACCGTAGAACCTCCCGGCCAGAGGGACTAGAGTGACGTCAGTTGAAATCCTGAGCTACCTTTGCCGGTTTTACCATTGGAAATACCTTTTCTTACCTAGGAGTAAATATAATTTTGCCGAAGAACGTGCGTTTCTTCCTGTATTTGCAATTCAACTGAATGTAGTTTTAAAAGCTCAAGAGAACTTGGAAATTGCATTGCTCCCTATTTTACACACAATTTTAACTGTTTTGTCGTCAAAGAAATAAATAATACTCTGCAATTGTAAAATTTTACATGCAAAATCCTTTACCTCTACCTCAATCATGCCCCGAGTGTTCCGCGAAAGTTTTCTTTAATTCTAATTCTACGATAGTTATCAGTAGAGGGCGGAATTTCATGACCTAAAACATTGCCTAAAATTATCAATAAAATGCTCATAAAATGTTTTTAAAATGTCTTAAAAAATGAAAAATGACATAAAAAATTGATCCAAACCACTTCAAATGAACAACTCAAGCTGTAGGATAGATGTAGAAACTGTAAAGAAAAATATTATATTTTATTAATATCTTCCCCAAATATCACATCATGCGAGTTATCTATTGCTCGTTGACATATGTTCTAAAACACAAGACGTACTGCTAAGTTTGTAAATACATACCTCACCTATACTTATTTTAACGCACAGTTCTTATATCCAATGGATTTACATCTCATAGTGAGTGGAATGTACTTAATAACACTACGGCAGTTAAGACTATGAAGTGTGCGAGTGTACGTCTCCGAACAATATCATTAAAGTCGTGAAAACGTGAATGCCTTCAATCTCTTCATAACATTACTTAGTCAGATCTCTTTCCGTGATTGTCCAGCAACTTTTTCAGCTACTCACGAGTGTGTAAAAGAAAATCTTAAGCTAAAATTGTTTGTAAATAACGTTGGTGATCTCATTCACTGTGGCGTTATATTATACTACCCAGCAGTGTTTAAACCAATGTCCCAACCAAACTGACGTTTCTAAACGTTTTCCCGAAACTCGGAAACATTTTATGTACCACTAAGTCGAAAAATTCTTATGAAATTCTTTTATTTTCGCTTTGGAAAAATTGAGAAAAAGTTTTTTAAACGCCTGAAAACTTCCGAAATTTATATACCATTAAAAATTAACTATTAAATTTGAAATGTACGTTAATAATTTTTATTTGCATAACAATTGTCTACCGTTCCATCGTAACAAGTCTGCCTAGTCGTAACTGCAGTCTATTGAAATAAAAAAAATCAATCAATATTGTTAAACATTTTTAGTGCGAAAGTTTTACAAGTAAAAGTGTTTGTAAATTTTGGAACTGTCGGTTTTGTATAAATATTGATTTCAAAAACTAGTTGTATTAAAAAATTACAACACGAAATCCCTAACTGTAAATTAATACATCTCGGGTGTAACTGACTATATGAGGTAGTAATGAATCATTTGCGGTATACCACTTCCTTGCCACAGATGCACAGTCAGTGACTTTCTCATTTGGGTTAATTATTTTTGTTCATGCGTTTAATGCGTACCATAAACACTGCATTAAATTTTTGAGTTCGTATGTAGAGCGATCCAAAGATGCAATCGTACCGATTCGTCCAACCTAATTTCTCATTCTATTCCCAGAAAAACACAAGTGTTAAATTAAAAAAAACGATTATGGAAACTGAGTATTGATCTTGTATAGAGATGAAAAAACTATTTCCATTATAAATTTTATAATCAAAACGGAATGTTTTACAGAAAAGATTCATGATATTTTTTAAAATATGAGAAAATCAATCATTCATAATTGAAAAAAAAAGGTTTTTTACGGACAAATAATATTTTAATACGAACTTTGGCGCTCTGTACTAATTGTTTAATATTGCTGTGTTGAAAGAGCGAAATCATGTAGAAATAATTTTTCCGTAATAAAACTGGTAACTGGCATCTTTTCGTCGCTTATAGTGTGATGGGAGCAACTACTTGTAATTATTTTTTCCTAGTGAAGATTAAAAATATTCTATGTAAATATTCTATGTATTTTCACCATATATATGGATCAAAGTAATGTAAATATTAAATGCAATTTATTCGTCAATATTAAACTTTAAATTATTTTAAGTGTATGTTTTCATAATATTGGTAATTTTTGGGCAACTTTAATTCCAATAATATTAGTTTTCCAAAACTGAGTTATCAATATTGTGTCAAAAATGGCTTCTTGGTTATTAAACTTTTTATATGAATAGAATACAAAGTAGTGATTCACGGCAAAAGAAACTATTTTCATTAAAAACCTTTGAATTGTGAAAATATGCACAAAATTTTCTCGTACTTCTGTGAGGTAAAGAGAGACGTTGCGAAAAGGGAACAATAAATTCCTTTGTCTACCACAGCTACGCGCACAAAAGTTAAAACTAAAATGAAATATAAAAATTTAAAAACTATGTCGAAATACAAAAACTCGCACAGCGTTATAAATTCAAATATTTAGGGTTTCTATTTAGTGACTTTAACAAAACACAACATAGGCAGTACGTTAGTAATAACGTATCGCTTTTGTGTGTTTTTGTAATTATAAGTCGGTTTTACAGTATTTTAATTATAATTTTTATTAGTACAACGTATGTGAAGATGTACCTTTTTCATTCGTTAAACAACTACGAATTTCATGTTTGTGTTAGTGGTTCGAAATGTGAAACACAAGTATGGATAGAATAACTGAAAGATGTCTGCAACAGTTCGTATATACCCAATGTTCTCACATTAGATTTGCTGACTTAAAATGTATTTGCATAATTATAACCCTGTAAATTAGGTACGTCTGATGGAGAATACCATGATATATACTTTCTATGAACATAAACTATCTCATTATGCTGATGTCATAATATAATTATCGGTTAACTTTCTAAATCCGGGTGCAGATGGCCCACACAATTTCTTGCTATTTTCAACTCTGAAATATTAAAACACGCTATAATCATTATCTCTTCCAGATCATTGAACTATTCATGCGTGGAAGATCTGCAGACATGGTCCCTTGGTTTTCTTCTGCATACTATTGTAAATGTAAATTCTCTCATTTTCCCAAACGCCACATATGTTTTTTCGTGAAGTATTTGTAGGTGTGTCTTTATTCAATTAGTCCTTATTTCTGATTTATGAAAGCTGTCCGGGGAGCATGAGTGACCTAGTTGGTTAGCCCAGATAATCGACTAGAACGTCGTGCTCATTTGGAGCACTTGCGATAGCTCCCCGCGTAACTATGTAAAAATAGATTCTGTCTCTAAACTCATACATGGTAATGTGGTCTTTATGAAACTATGAGCGTTCAGGATAATAATTTTTGATGAATGGTTTTTTGTGAAGTAAATGATCATTTTAGAATGTGTAGATAAAACCGGATTATGGAACTTAAAACGTTTACATGTGCGAAATTTTTTATATAAAAGGTCATAATCAACATACATTATATAACCACTACCATTTACCATATATTTATGCAATCCTTTTTTTAAAAAAAGGGCTCTTTAAGAGGCTTTTCCAAGCCAACTACGATCAGTTTTTCATTCTGTACCTGCGGTCAGCGATGACGAGGTGAAATGAAATGCGTTAAGGATATATCCCGGTAATAATCTCAGTCAAATATAAGAGTATATATGATGACAATAATAATATAGATAAATTATTTCATTCAAAAAAGTGGTTTAGAAATATCTGCTACAGAAGAAAGGATACATATAATGGAAAAAGCATATGATATCACCAGGAACATCTACAAGAAGAAATGTCTATCAAGAAACTCGGTAATCAAATCGGAATGTCTGTATGCAAGTGAATGTCAAGTATTGAATTACAAATTAATAAATTAAAAGTATTAGAAAGAAGAATCATACGTAAAATACTTGGCCCGCTCAAAATAACAGAATTCTGAAAAATCAAAGCCATGATTAAGTATATCGCAACATAGAAAAAACAACAGACACAATTCGGAAGAAAAGATAGCTTTTTTGGACACATATTCAGGATGGGTGATGACGCACTAAAAATATCATGAATCTTTGGAATTAGAAATCTACCGTAACCTTGTTGCAGGAAGTTCAGAAAGATACGGAAAGAAACAACATAAGAGAAGAAATAATGGAGAGAGATTTTTAAAAATAAATTTCAAAAAATTGAAGGGTATCAACGAAGGAAGGAGAGAAAAACTGGTAAAAATGATTCGAGAGGAAAATGAATTATAGTAAGAAGATGAAGGAGAACTTGAAAATAAAGAAAAGGCAAAGGAAGTGTTGAATTTGTCTCGTGGCCTCTTCATCATCCTGGCGAAGAAAGATAAATAATATTACAATATTAATCAGAAATTTGGCGCTTGTGAGCTATTCAGTTCTCGTTGTTGACATTTACAAACGCAGATAATTAAAACAAAATTTGCATTTAAGATGAAATAAGTAAATAAAATTTCAAGAGCGATAGAACTATAAAACATATTATGTACGTTTCCAAATGAAGATACAAGACAGAATTCACTTTTCGCTATATAGTATATGACATTTTATTATTTAACGAGACCATAATTCATCCCTTATATCCATTGCGTTTGTGAGATATTCTGCAGCAGCATATTGTGGCAATCCGTTTTTTGTGGGCGTGATCTCCAGTTATCTCCGAGAACGGAGTCAATGTATATACAGGTCTTCGACTGTTGAGCATGGATACGAATGTTATTACTGGTCTCTCGATACTCCACGTTGGTAATTTATTTGATCATATTGTATATTTCAAATCGGTGTAGTATAGCGCTAAGATAACGTAACTATTTCTCAGCTTGGAGAGTTTAAGTTCTTTTATTCATAAAATATATTGCTTTATTGTTTTGTGTATATTTGCTTTTCCATTGTTACTGACCCACTGTAGATGCAGAAAGTGTTCTCGAACGTTGATTTTGGTGAGTGTTTTAATAAATATTAAAATTTCGAATTTTTGTGGTTTGATAATTTATTAATTAATTTCATGGAGTTCCACAAAATCCATGCTAACACCAGCGAATTTATCTGAAAATTCTCCATTTAGAGCTTGTATTTCAGTGTTTCGCCTCAAGTTCCTCCAATATGTTTAATTGCACAGTTTCTAGTGAATTTATTTTCGTCCTGTCTCTACGACATAAGTGTTATGTATGAAAATAAAACAGCCACGTTAAATCAAGAAATTACCTTTCATATCTTGTAATTGTTAAAGGAGTCGGAAAATCTAACGAAAGGGAATCTAAAGGTGTGTTTTTTCTTTCCATTTGTGTCTAACTGTAGCGGAGGGCTCCTTTTCCACATTCATAAATACTTGAGGGTGGAGGTGAATACGTAAAAAACAGACATTCAACTTAGAGATTTAAAATGAACAACTTGATGTTTTTCCTTTTGTGCTTACGATATACTGTGTTTAGTGTAATAACTAAAAAAGGAGACGACGTGAGAGACGATTAACTGTGCTTGAAAGAAAGTAACTTGTTGAGCTACTAAAGAAGCAAGTTACGTTCCTCTTACTTTCTTTGGATCTCAATGTTCCACTAACCTCTTTCGTTAAAAGTAGAATACTTGTATCGTTCTTTGATGAACTTTGTTCTCGTTTTCAAGCATAAGACTCGCGAATAACAATGACTTGAAATATCGAAGGTGGTGTTCAGAATAAATGTCCTAGTACATCCTATACTTTTATATGAAAGAAATTCATGTGGAACCTATTTCTTGTGTTTTACATATTAAGGCATATGGAAGAGCGTTGTTGAGCCACCTATCAGAATCTTGACAACTTTGTTTTCCTTCCTTTTGTTTACAGTGCTGTCATTTCAAGTAACTTCATTTGTAAATATAAAAGTTAACTATTTCTATTATCATTCTAAATAAATAACTATCTCTTTTGAAGTATTGTATTCAGCAATTGTCGAACCTTTATTCCAAAGTATTTGCTTAGATATCGAATGAAGAGCTTATTTACTAAGTGACGTATCTCAAAACATTTTTTCGTGCAGCGAGAAAACATTTTTTTAGGATGAGAAAATGTTCAAAATCAAACCAATAGTTCAAGATGGGATACAAGGGTTATAGATACCGTTTAACGTACGTAAAACGCCATTTTTGATCACATTTGCGAGCGTAATAGATAAGCGTCTTCAGAATCTATAGATGCATAAAACTAGGAAACTGAAGACGAAAACTAGGAAATGGAGACACGTCCCTTTGGAAGTAAGCTTTTCAATTACGCACATTTATTTTGTATTTTTGGAGACCCAGTATATATCGTCTTGTGCATGATAGCTAGTCTGCGAAGTCGGATAATCCACCCAGAATGCCAAATATATTCATATATGTATGATCATTTTGGCAATAGACACATATATTTAAAAAAAACAACTGAAATTTTCTTGCAAATAAAAATAATTTCTTGGAACTCAAATTTTAAAAAAATCTGTGGAATGTTTGTTGTAATGCACTGAATGTAATGAGTGATTGTCATCTCATCATTGTACATAAGATATTGGCACAGAATCGAAATAAATTAGGAGCATTGTAGTTATAGAAAATTTAAAAAAATTAACGTAAAATAAAGGAGTAAAGTCTAATGTTGAGGAAACTGTGAATAAAGAGGGCCTTGCCTTCGGCGTAGGGGTGACCGCTTCCATTTTATGAGAACAACGCATATTTGTATTTTTCATTTGACATGAAGAGGAGTTCTCTCAGTGGTGACTAATCGATGTGTGTAGTTTTCAAGTACATTCATTTCCGACACAGTGATGCAGAAAGACAGGAAGGACAGACTTACTCGAGATTTACGTAGTTTGTGATAGGGTTTCCTTTCCTCTCCCACTCTCTGTCTCTCTCATTGACATCTTTCCTGCATCAATTCTGTTCGTATTCCTCTTTTTTCTTCTCGTTTCGATCGCCGTCTCTTTCTCTCTCCCGCCCTCTCTATAATCCTTCTTCCAACCATTACACTCTTTTTTTCTTTTTCATTCTTTCCTTCTTGCCCTTTTCTCTGACGCCCTCTTTCTTCCCTTTTCTCTTTCGCCCTCCATCTTCCTTCTTCTCTCTCCCCTTCTTTATTTCTCTCTCACCCTGTTTCTATCTCTCTCGCCCCCTTTCTTTCTCTCTCTCGCCCCTATTTCTTTTTCTCTCGCCATCTTTCTCTCTCTCTCCTCGCCATCTATGTCTTTCTCTCTCGCCATCTTTCTCTTACTCTCGCCATCTTTCTCTTACTCTCGCCATCTTTCTCTCTCTCTCGCCATCTTTCTTTCTCTCTCGCCATCTTTTTCTCTCTCTCCCTTGCCATCTTTCTTTCTCTCTCGCCATCTTTCTCTCTCTCGCCATCTTTCTCTTACTCTATTTCCCCCCATCTTTCTCTTAATCTCTCCCTCTCGCCATTTTTCTTTCTCTCTCGGTCTCTCTCTCTCACGCCATCTTACTTTCTCTCTCTGTCCCTCTCGCCATCTATATTTCTCTCTCTCGCCATCTTTCTTTCTCTCTCTCGCCATCTTTCTTTCGCTCACTCGCCATCTTTCTTTCTCTCACTCTCTCTCTCACCTTTTTTCTCTCTTTCTATCACCCTTTTCTCTCCCGTGCCCCCTTTGAGGACGCGGCAACAGGCTTCATAGCTCTTCGGGCGTCACACGTCCCCGTCTCTTCCGGGCACGCCGCGTCGCACCGGCCCGGCCGAGCTCGCGCTTCCTTGGCGGCGCGCGCACCTGCCAACCCCAAAACGCCCGCGGAGCTGGCGGCGCGGGGCGCTGCGCGCGGGCGTTGACCTGCGCGTGCGGCCCTGCCGCGGCCTTGCTTCCGGGCGGAGCCGGCCTCGGCCACGCGCCGCTGATTCATCCCCCCACCCCACTCCGCGCGCCCCGCCCTCGGCCCCGCTCCCGCTCCCGCCACAGCCAGCCAGAAGCTCGGCTGCCGCAGCCGCAGCCGCCCCACTTCCACCTGCTCCCGTCTTCGCGTCGCCCGCGGTCCTCGCTTGCCCCCGATGGCGGGCAAGGCAATCGCGGACGCCTACAAGCGGTGAACGTTGTAGATCCCAAATATTACAATTACGGATGGGGGAAAATATTCATGTTTTGACTTGACGTGGCCACTGCTAGGAGCACAAGATCAATGCGGAGTGTATATCACACAATAGCGCGGTTTCGCGAGTGCGCGGCGGTAAGAGCCTCGCAGGAGGGACGAAAACAATACCCTCTCTTTACGATGTCATTTAAATACTCCATACGAAGGAAAGTTTTTTCTGGTGGAATGTAATCCTTTTCTTGAATGGGGTGCGGAGTGTTGAAATCCGGAATGCGTCTTGTAGGCCTTTAGCGGCCCGTAAAGTGTCAAACGCGCTCGTGAGCCTGGTTGGCGCTGTTCGTTCTTGTATGTCGTCATTGCCCCCGACCCTGCTTGCTCGCCGTGCGACACAAAGGTTTTTCATCCTCTTTCTCATCCGTTGTGCCTGTTAGTGTTAGAATGCGCACTGTATAGACTATAGCGCAGACAACTTTCAAGTCTAACAATACGAGAAACGTTGGAAATTCGCAAGACAGACGACTGTGTAATTGCATATGTCGTGGCCGGTGACATTGATTGTCTTGTACCTTGATGCTAGATGACATTCGAATCGTCCGGTATTGTCGTTAGTCGCCGTCTTAATAGTTCTTGCAACGTTGTCTCTTTTTCTAATATTTTTACCACGGTCACCTCCTCTTTCTTATTTCTATTATCGTCTTCTTATACACGTCGTTGTCGTCTGAGCCTCGTATCCTCTGTTTACAGTCGTATCCCTCTCTTGTTCTCTCGTAAGAGGAAAACAATAGTCGTCTATGGCGACCCCGGAAGAGAGACGCTGGCATGCCTTCTGTCATTCACCGCAGGCTAGACGTCGGAAGCTGCGTAACGCGCCGCAGGCCCCAAGAGAATGCAGTGCTTACCGCGGCCGCCGCCGGCGCTATTCGCGCGCTGCGGCGCGGCCAAAAGGGAAAGCGGCCGTGACCCTGACATCCGGCGCGCGGCTGACTAGGTGACGGCGCAGCTGAGCCGCGAGCTGCTGGGCGGCTCCGCGCCGGTCAGTGGACCAGACCCGCTGGCCGCCGCCCACTCTCCGTCCCAGCCCCCTTCCCCCTGCCTCCCTGGCCGCCCTTCCTTTTCTCGCACACTGGCATCCCTCTCGCTTCTGACCGTTCCCTCCTCCGTCAAAATGTTCCGTCCCTATCTCCCGTCCTACGGGACGATCCCTTTTCCCGCCCTGTCCTGCCGCCCCTTCTCCCACCCCCATCTTTCGCTTCCCTCTCCCGTCTCCATCTCCCTTCCTAACCATCCTCGCACTCTTCGTTTCCATCGTGCTATTCCCGTCCTCGTCACTGCCCCACGTTCCCACCCCTTGTCCTTGTCCCTCGCCCATCACTAACCCCTCTCCACCCCATCTCTTCGTCCCCCTTGCCCACTGCCAGTCCTGTCGCCTGGCGTCGCCGCCCGCTCCCGCGCCCCAGCTGATTTATTGATTGATTTCTTAGTGGTTCCGGGCACGTCAACTACCAGGGTCATTAGTCCCGTAAGTGTAATGCATGTTTTTGCTCGGAAAATGGCGGTGATCCTTTCCTCGCTCTACGGCGAGACCCGGCGCCGACCTACTGTCGGCTAGCGGGGTATTCCACAGGTATCTCTCACCAGAGAGTACCGCACCAAGACCCGGCGTGAGGCCCTTGCGTTTCCCCCGTCTGTGCCTCCCTCCACCTCCCAACCTGTTGTGTCCCGTTCTCACCCACGTCTTCATCCAGTAAAAGCGGCTTAACCGGTTCCCGGCGAGGGTTCTGATGTGAGCCACTACGGATGCATGGATGCAACGACGAGCTTTGGAACGTGGAACTAGATTTGGCCATGAAATTGCCAACTTAATTCAATGATTGTGAGTATCGGAGTTGGTTTTTTTATCTGATGTGTGCATACATAAGTACTCCGAGTCGAAGAATCATTAGGAATCGATTTTGGGTGCATATTTATATGGTTCTGTACGTTTATAGAAAGTAAGTGATCGCGTGAGAAATGTATATATACGAAAGATCAGAGGAATTTTGAAAATGCCAGACAAGCATCTTAAAAAGATAATATACGACTTAATTGTAAATTGCATTACTTTACCTTGAGTAAGTTTTGTTTCCAGGCACATCACCGACTTTGGTTATTATTCCTGTATGTCTATTGCGAGTTACAATCCGCGAACTGGTTCTCCCCGCTGGAGTGTGAGATGAGAGACCGACTTATACGTCAGCTTGCTCGTTCCCCGTAGATCTCCGCCGCAACAGGGATAATCTCTAACCTTCCTACAGAACTTGGATCAGACGAATACTGTTCTATCAATCTAAACCTGAAATATGTAACTGAGGTTTATTTTAACTTATTTCCTACTTGGTTACGCCCTCATAGTTTAGCTCATTGGTCTGCGTGCTCGCTCTCTATTACGCGATCCCGGGTTCGATTCCCGGTCAGGCTTCATGGTTGTGTGTTTTTCTTGCATTATCCCAGTATGTTGCTGTGGGACGACGAGAAAACTCACCTCTCACATTTAGAAGAACAGAACATGGCGCAGGGAAGTCGTCGTGCTAACCACACGTACCCCGAAGCCGTAACCGCGAGGCCGGGACGCTGCTGGCAGGCACTGGCCTGTTCGCGGGCAATCGCGTCAAGTACAGGCAGAGCGACAGACAGCCCTACTTAGTAATGATTATGAGGTACCGGGCATTGTTCGTTAGCAATAAGGTCTAATCTTATTTAGAAATAGACGACAATAATTAAAGAAATAAGATACGTTCCACATTAAAAATATATATTCGTACTATAATTACTGAAATGATATAGCCAAAAGTTTTAATTTTTTGAGCAATACTTTTGTAGGCTTAGGGCAGGACACCAACTAAATCAGAATTCTATAGTTCAGCTGTGTTCATAAATCGTTTGTGTGAATCCTCCAATGAATTCCACGCGGATTTTGTGTCAGTCAGGCCCAGCGTCAGTCAGGCCCAGCGTCAGTCAAGATCAGCGTCAGTCAAGACCAGCGTCAGTCAAGACCAGCG